CAGTTAATCTCATTGCAACCATTACAATTACATTGAAACTAATGTTTAAAAGATTTATTCAAAACAAGAAACCAATATGAAAACAGATAATTAGATATTGTTTGTTCTATAAATTGACAATGAACTCTAAGGTTAAAAAGAACCATTTTGAAGTATTACTATTGGACGGGTGTGAGTAAAGACCAGGTATTCACTCGCATTGTTTTATTACTGTCCGTGAATGGATAGAACTTTTTCGTTAAAGTCAATAATGATACTTCGAAATGATTCTTTCCAAACTTTTCCTCATAGATATGAGCACTCCTCTATCATTAGTAAAAAAGAACCCAGCTCATTTTCTCAAGCTACGATAGAGATATTCTATTTTTTGTATGGTAAAGTGACTTTTGGACCACTCTGTATATGTATATATTTCTCACAGGAAAAAACTGATTTATATAAATTGAATTTTTATTTGAAATGAACATAAAACAATCTGTTCATTCAAATAAAATCTAGATGGAATTTATGAACATTTGTTTATCATAATATTATAAAACTGATATTAACATAAAAAAAAAAAATATTCAATTGAAATCTTCTTGTTCATTTTTTTTTGAGTATGGTGTTCGTTACAAACTAGTTATTTCAACTTAATCTTCCTCATCATCATTCTGATAGATACTTGTAATCAATCGATTAAATGTAGGAGTTTAGTCCAAGCAAAAAATATCCGTGATTTTTGTATAAAACATGTTCGATTGTCTGTTCTACCTAGACTTTTATTTATTTCATTTAACCATGTGAATACTAGGGTATATTATAGAGTACGGTTTTTTCAAGTTTCTTAATTTTTTTGAATAACTCACGCGAGTGCAAAAAGATATCGAAATGCGATGATGCAATTTTCTCTGTTGACATGATGTTTTTTGTTGATTTTGCTTGCAAGTATATGCGAAGTAAAAAAAAAGAACGCAAAATGAAATGAAATGATTTTGCGTTCTACTGACTATTAAGTCTTCTTGACAATATTTTCCTTAGGAATATTTTTCTTTCTAAGTTTTCATTATTATATTTTTGCATGATTATGACGAACATTAACTACATAAGATATGGTAGCGTGAACGACCCTTGTCTCGCTTTATATGTTTCAATAGTAGTGCTTGTTTTTAATGAATTTTTTGAACTATATACTAGTTTACCCTTATATTCTGTGTGCATAATCTAAAAACATTTTAGAGTATATGATGCAATTTTTAAGTGAAAATAATATACCTTGGTTGAATTATGAATTTTTCTTTTAGTAAGAGAGCCTCAAACGTCAAAAATGATTCTCGATCGTAAAATATCTCTATTTCAGTAATTATTTATAGCTAACGTTTCAAATTCTTATTGTAGATAGAGAAGAGTCAGAAGTGTGTTTTACTGAAAAGAAGAAGCTTTCAACTCTTTTGCATTGGGAGTTATCAGCATTTGATGACAAAAGAAATGAAACGCTTATATCTCTCAAATTATCTAGGAAAAAAGAGGTCTAAACTTGTTAGATGATTAGCATTCAGGAATACCAATGATCACAGAAATTCAGAAGTTCTTAGGTATCATGATCGAACGGTGTTAAATCATCATTTCTTTCTATGAACACCATATCAACAAAGCAATATGTCACATTTGATTCCCTTAAAACTTTACTTTGGAAGTATCTGTTCGAGTCCTATGGGACAAGCTTTTTTTCAAATTCCGTTGATCCCGTCCAGTTTTCGTTTTCAAAATGTCTAGCAGAACTGAACACACAGGATATTTCGACATTTAGAACCATTTCGTAGGACTCTAATAACCATATTTTGTTTTTGTTTCTTAACGTAAAGAGATTAATACTTTTCAGATATATTTTTTATTCTTTCATTTGCCTACAGATGTCGTTATATATCGATAGTATATAATTTTGTTTTCTATACTACCTTTTTATTGCACGTATTTTTCAATAGTAGTTGAGAAAGAATGTATATATTATTTTTATTTTTCATCAGTCGTCTATCAAATAAATTCTAATACACTGTATGACTCATTCCATCGTATTGTCTATCGATGTCAATGAACGAACAAAATAAACACAAATAAAATTCTTTCACATCATATTAACTCATGTTTCACATATGATGTATGACACATGTCTTGCATAGAAAAATTAAAAAAAAAAGAGATTAGAAAATAATCAATTGATTATTTATCCTACTTTTATATGAATTTTTATTAAGTCAATGTACACCTACATATCAGTCAGCTGACCTTGATTATATATGTTTATTTCTATTTTAGAAGAATTTTTTTTGTTTTTTGTTGGATAATAACAAAAGAAAAAAACAAAGTATGACAACAGTTACAAGACGTACTGTTCGGCCAACATCATCAAATTCAGCTGCAACATACAGTGATTCAGCAAGTAATAATATATTTCAATCAAATCAAAATGAACGTGATTATCGAGATAATTATGATGAACGTGATTCTGATGATGATAAAGAAACACGTCTTACACTTATGGAAGAAGTTCTATTACTTGGTCTAAAAGATCGAGAAGTTTGTTAATTAAAATTTAAAATATTTTTCTTTATTTTTTTGTTTCATAGGGTTATACATCATTCTGGAATGATTGTATATCATCTGGTTTACGTGGTTGTATTTTAACTGAATTAGGTTTTCGTGGTCGTCTTGAACTTGAAAAAACTGGTGCACGTCGTCGAACATTAGCTAATCGTAAAGTTATGTTACTTGATGATACAATGGCAGGAGATGTTCTGCTTGATGAAGCGTTACGACATGTTAAAGAAACACAACCAGCTGAAACTGTACAAAGTTGGATTGAATATCTTAGTGGTATGTGAAATAAGGAAAATATATAAGTTATATTAAATTTCAAAATAGAAAATATTGAAACGATTTAAGTTTAAATTCATAATTAAGAAAAATAAATCTTTGAAAAAAAATCAAGTTATAATAGTGTCATTGAGTTCAAATAATCGTTATAGCTTCGCTTGATTCTTTTTTGAAGAGTTTTTTCGTAATAGTATTAAAAGTTTCGAATATTTTAATATTAATTCAAAATATTTATTTGAACGAAAAAAAAACAAAACAAAACATTTGGTTTATACTTCTTTTCTCAAATACTACTTAATATTAAAACTCACTAACATGCTTATCAATAGATACTCATTTTGTATTTATATGTTCATTATCTTTGTACTTGTAAAAATATAGGTTTTTTTTTCTGAGTAAAATGTTGAGCGTAAAAAGTGTATCGATGATATTATATCGTCAAAGAAGAAGTGTATTGTATTTCTTTTTTTTTAATCTTAAAACTATATAGATATAAAGTACATCAGAGAGTCAAATAGTCGGAAATTTTCATCGGTTTAAATGCGCCATAGGAGAATCTGAATATTTTTTAATTATTTGCGTGCCTTTCATGCGTAGTATTCGATTTATTATGTTTGCCTGTTATCATATGTTTTGACATATCCGTTTCTACCTGTGTAATTGATGACATTATAGTACTATAATATAACTTGAATGAATACATAGATGCCTTGATAAGAATGCAAGGATGTCTTCAATATATCTGACGAATTAATTAAAGAAAATATATCAAAGCTAGATGTTTATCAAAAATATAATTATAAATAATAGTACAGTAAGAATAAAAGAATAATTTATAGCAGTCACCGAGAATTGAAGATCGTATGTAGTACGTTAAAGAGACTGATTATATTCGATTCAAATCAATATTCTTACTGTCAAACGAACTCTTTTTGAAAATATGAGCTGCTCACAACATGCACAGATTGAGATATTTGAATTTTAAGATTTTACAGTCTATGTCATGTGATCACATTTCAAAATTTCAATAGAATTGATTTTTTTTTTCGTTATGATTGGATAGAGCTCAGTAAGTTTTATAAGAAAAACAAAATAATAATTTCACATATATTCAAAAGCATTTTTACAAAAAAAGTTCACGATACCATCATGGTTAAAAATAAGGATAATAGACACAAATTTCTGAATATATGTGGTATTATTTTTTTCCTATGTAACTCGCTGAACTCTATTCAAGCATGACGAAAAACGGAAAAAAATCAATATTGCCGTAATTTTTAAGTGTAGACAAATGACATAGACTGTAAATACTTTGAAATTCGAATATCACGGTCTGTATATACTATTGACAACTAATACTTAAAATCAATCAGTTTCATAGTGAGAATCTTCCGTTGTTAGTGAAACGAATAAAAACCACACTTTGATGTTCTCAATGGAATTTCCAAATCGAAATTGAATAGTCACCCCGAATATATGAGAGACTATTTTCTAGTTTTTTTGTATTCGGTGGCTAGTACGCATCCTACACGCTTCTCAGATCTGAGTCCGGGACTAATCCGATGAGTTCTACTATGTAGTCATGATCATGCTCAGTCAAAATGATAAAATTTCATCTGTCATCTTCTTATAAAAATAAACTATCACAGGTAGTGCGGCAGCGTGGATCATGGGTTTGTGCCTCTGAAGTATATTGTTTAGTCGTTGATGCAAAGACTAATTTTGAAAGAACATTTGAATATAAACGGAATCGAAATTCTTAATCTTTTAAACATATTGACTGAATGGAATTTAAGATAATAACTTATCAATGATCAAATTATCTAAAGAGGAAACATCCTCAACTGTCGGGCGCTATTTGACTTCATATTTTAGCTACGAGTAAGTCTCTATGGAGCTAAGAGAACTCTCAAAGGGTTCGTCCCCATGGTCTTTCTGGACCGAGATTTGAAATGCTTTCTATATCAAGAAAAATCAATTTTTCATTTTTTCTCCATTATACGAAGGGTTAGAGACTGGAAATTTTAACATATATTCTTGGAGATTATTGCAGCACAGTGGAGTAAGAATAAAATTTCTTTTCAGCATGAAGACTATATGAGTGGCAATGGAAATGTATAGCGTATTGATAAATGTTATGATCTTAAAGGGCAATCGTTCAGTATAACGGAGAAAAAAATGAAAAATTGATTTTTCTTGATATACAAAGCATTTCGAATCTCAGTCCAGGAAGATCATAGTGACGAATCATTTTAGGGTTTTCTTAGTCTTATAGAAGCCCACTCATAACCAAAATATGGAGTCAAATGGCATTCGACAGTTGGGAATATTCCCTTGTAAGTATTATTATTTCTTTATAGGTGAATGTTGGAATCCATTAAAATTAAAATATCAATTACGTAATGTTCGTGAACGTTTGGCAAAGAGCCTTGTTGATAAAGGAATATGTAGTACTGAAAAGCAAAATTTTTTCTTATTTGATATGACAACACATCCACTTAGTGACAGTATACATAAAACGAAATTAATAAAAAAAGTTCAAGATAGTGTTTTAACACGATGGCCAAATGATCCACGTCGTATGGATCGACGTATATTAGCACTTATCTATTTAGCGCATGCAAGTGGTAAGAAGACATGAATTCAAAATAAAAAAAATAAAAAATAAACATGTTTTTTCTTTTTTTTTTTTTAATTAAGATGTTCTTGAAAATGCATTCACATCCTTATCAGATGATGATTATGAAGTAGCTATGAAACATGTACGTGAATTACTTGATCTTGATCCTGATCAAGAAACAAGTAAATATGATTCGAAAATGGAAATTATGTGGGCTGTTGTAGCAGCTTTCAATAAATAAAAAAATTCTTGCTTTACTTTTTATTGCTCGTTCTATTCCAAATAATATAAACTTATTCTTTTCATTATTTTTCTTTTTTTTTCTCTCTTGCTCTGATTGCTATTTCTTTTTCTCGTTTATAAAAAAAAAAAACACAAAAACGATAAATAGATATAAATATCTTTTCAATGCAGTGACGTAAATTTATGTTTGAAAGATGTGGGATTCATTGATTGCTATCAAGTTGTACTCTTGTTTTTCTGTTTAGCATAACAAACAATCTCTCTTTTTTCTTTTTCTTTCTTTTTTGTACACGAAGGTCCACCTCTATTTTGCTTTCTTTCGTTTTTTTTTCTTCTTCTGTGATACACATGCACACAAGATGTATAAAATAAAAAGAAAAAAATGAAACATATTATTTTATTCTTTTTCTTATAGATGACAAGACGAGAAAATTTTGACGAAGTTGTTTTACTTTTTTTCTTGTTTTGCATTTCTGTTTCTTCCTTTCATCACTTGGCAACGCGCGTCACAGAACTAAATAGGAGAAAGAACGTTAATATTTAGTTGATGAATAAGACGTCAAACAAGTATGCATTTGTTTTTATTTTATCTCTTTATTTTTCTTTGAAGCAAGAGTCGATGAGGTTTAGTGTTTTGTTTTTTGATATATAGATAATAAACGTCATGGGAAAAGACACAGGTGGGGGAGGAGTGATAGTGTGACGTGAATCATGATGAAGAGTAATCCAGAGGTTCATAGGAATTAAAAGAAATGAGTGTATTATATTTGTAGGTTATTCATAAGTATGTGAAAGATAAAATGTACGAAATCGTTTCAGATGATAATAATATTTTGATTTATCTTCTATACAAATATTTATTGCATTCCAGTTAATATTAAGTATGGGACAATTTCTTTCACGTTTTGGTATTCGTTTGGGTACACGTATAAATGAGAATGAAATAAATCGTATTCCAATTCATCATAAATGCCGTAATTGTGGTCAAGGATGTGATCCAACAAAATCAACTAATACATGTGTTAATGCTAAATTTACTCGTACAGGCACAAAAGATCAAGTATCAATAATACGACCAATTATACCAAATGATAAAGTACGATGGTCAACATCATTTGATTATCATCCAATTGAATTTACATCGGAAAAAATTCGAACATCAACTAAAGAATATGTTGATCGAGATCCACGACAAGATCCTAATGTACAAATACCATGGAATTTAGATGATCGTTTATGTGATCGACGATCTTACCATGGTACATATAAAATTATTGGACGTGTACCACAAAATCCATGTGGACGAACGGGTATTACTGGACGAGGACATCTTGGTATAGTTCAAAATTAAAACAAAAAATAAAATAAATTTTAATATTATTATTTTAGGTCATTTTGGACCAAATCATGCTGCTGATCCAATTGTAACACGATGGAAACGTGATGAAAATGGTCAAGAAATAATTCATCCATCAACAAGAAAACCAATTTTACAATTTGTTGCTATACGTCGTAAAGATACAAATGAACTTGCTATACCAGGTGGAATGGTTGATAAAAAAGAAAAAGTTACTGATACATTACAACGTGAATTTCAAGAAGAAACACTTAATTTTCCAGATTTAGATGAACGTAGTAAACATAATTTATTAGCAACAATTAAAGATATATTTGAAAATGGTGGAATTAGAATTTATTGTGGTTATGTTGATGATCCAAGGTACTTAAAATAATCAATAGAATTGATTTTAAATAAATCTATTTGTTTGATTTATTTTTTCTTATAGAAATACCGATAATAGCTGGATGGAAACAACAGGTATGAATATTATAAAGAGTTTTATAGTTTTTGTGCGATCTGAAGAAAAATACCAATAGGTTTCTAATATCATGGCTCTCAATTAGAAATTTCAGTCGAATACCTATTTTAAGCAAAGTGTGAGCATAGAGTCTCTGTAAAAAAAAGAGCTAGGACACTTCCGAGTTTAGTTTAGCTTGTATTATCATTACAATCTATCGTTTATAAATTCGCTGTTGAATACACGAGAGCAATAGTGCTAATATATTCAGAAAGGTATACTATCTCCAACCTTCAGAGCATCTTCAAAACGAATACTTTAGCTACAGTTATTTATAAACTTCTTCAAGGCAATAGGTTCTACTGGAAAGAAACATGAAACTCACTAAAGTTCATCAGGTTGATTCCGAACTCTAATTCCACCGGTCCAAGATTGTCCCAATGGGTCATACTCTAAAAGTAACAGCTAATTATGACTTGATTATTATAAGATCATTGTCAAGATTGACTGAAAAGTGTGTAGCGTGTGTTACTAGCATGATACAAATAGTCAACAAAAAAGTAATCCACATCTTCGGAGCGATTTGAAGACTCAGGTTAAAACATTTCGTTGAAATTAAGAGTACAATCTTGTTCTGAGTCCGAAAGTTTTGAATCCAACGGGTTCTACAACTCACAGAACCTTTTTATCAGTGATAAACATGATTTTTTTATTTCTTCGAAATTTAATTTGAAGTGTGGCGCAGTAGATTCGTAAACAACAATCAAAGTTTCTCTTTGGCCAAAAAATTGTATAGACACAATTATAACGAAAACAATTTTTGTACCGCCGATTTCTTTCTCTGAAGAGGTCTATGTGCCTTTTAAAGGTGTTTTTTTTAAACAGGTTTGACTTTAATCATAGAGAAATTATCGAACGCAAAACTTTTGCAAATATTAACAATTTCTGATAATGTCAATAAAATTTATAAGAAAAGAAAAAAATAACAGGTAACGAACGAACGAACCTTTTCGCGTGTTCCCTTCCAATTTCAACGATTTTTTGCCTATAGATACCATATAGTATTCTTATAAAAACCCTAAAAGGATTTGTATTTCTATAGAGATTTGATTTAGCTATCGAATTTATAATATATCTATTGTCTAGAAGTTCCTATAGGACTCTAAGTATTCGAATTTCAATCTGAAGCTTTGTGCATATAGAGAACTCAACTAGACGAGCTTTCTTGACAAAAAATTCAGAAGTTTTAAACAAAGTCTCTTTGAGATATAAAATTTTCAAAAAATGCATGCTCTATAAACTAGAGAGAGTGCTATTTGCTCGAAAAGCAAAATCTCGAATGAGCAAAATCTCGAAGTACAAAATTTCGAACTACGAAATCTAGAAAAGTAAACTCAAATATAGAAAATCTCGAAAGTTCGAAAAATATCAAGTGACACTGAATGACTCATCAGTCATTCCTTTATCTTTTTCTTTGTAGGGTGTGGGTGTAGGTGTAGGTGTAGGTGTGGGTATAAGTGTGGGTATGGGTGTGGGAGGCTTATTCTTTAATAGTACCCACACCTATACCCATATCCTCGAGTTGCTTTTACGTTTTACACTTTCGAGATATTGGAGATTTCTATTTCTAGATTCTTGCTTTTCGAGATTTTCTTTTTCTAGATATCTGATTTTCGAGATTTTGCCTTTTGGGTAATTAACACTGATTCTATAAACTATCCATGAACAAGAGTCGATATCTTGAAAAGACTTTGTTGAAAACTTGTGATTTCTTTTTGTGGAGGCTAGTCTAGTTCAGTTTTCTATATATGCAAAGATCCAAATCGAAACTCAACAATACGAGCTTTCCAAAAGCTTGACGCTTCTATAAAATATACGTATTGAAAACGCGATAGTTTAGTCAAATCTCAATGGGATCACAAATCCTTTTAGAGGTTTTTATTCGAACACTATATAATATCTATAGGCAAAAAAATCATTGGAATCGGAAAGGAACAGCTGAAGAGGTTTCCTTGTAAACCGAATCATATTCATAAAATTCAAACTTTTCACACTTGAAGTATGAGTTAATGACATTCTACTATATACAAGGTTTTAAGATTAGTGAACATGAATTTTTAAAAATGACCAATTAAGTATAAGAGATTTCTTCATAAAAACTTCTTGTTTTTTTTAGCATACAATTTTCATGATGGAAAAAATGAACATCTTGCAAAAATTAATGTTCATGGTGGTAGTGATGCATTATGTGCTTTTTGGCATGATCTCAGTGGTGAAGTATCATTATTTGCTAGCCATTCCGAATTCCTTCAAAGAGTTGCCGATATTCATCGTGCTCATTGGTAAAAGAACGAAAGAATAAACATCTGTCTGATATATTAATTGTATAGCTTCGAGATCGCTTTTTTTACCTTATGTAGAGAATGAATATATATGACAAAGAATATGTAAATCATCGTTTATTGTTTTGAACAAAGTATAAAAACGAAAAAAACAAAAAACAAATTTATGTCTTTTAACAGTATATGATTATTCTTGTTTTTAAGTGTTTGTCTATGTAAGATAAATAAGTGTGAGAATAATTTGTGTTTTTTTTATTACTTAATTATGAAAATATTTGTATTGTTGTTGATTATTGAAGTAAAAAATTATTCAATCATAAATAATGCTTTATAAAATGTATTTTTTTTTGTTAATTTTAAAAATATTCATATATAACTAAAGAATCAAGAGCAACACACAGGCTACTATTGATGTTAAAATAGCAATAGAATGTATTGAACGAAGTAAATAACCAAACAAACTAGGAATACAACGATGGCAGTACATCATCCTACCGTTTACCAGTGATAGCGGTGTACTATATCTTTGATGCTTCGCTTCACTGGTACATCCTTCTTACGTACATCTTTGCACTAATCTCAACATGTAGATGTAGGCTAATGGTAAATGCATGATAAAACTATGGTAGTCTTGGATCGATTTCGATCTTTTTCAATCGAAAAGATTATGTCAGGAAAATAGCTGCATTTTATTAAAAAGAGACTAAATATTTTCGGAGTCCTGGAATTCTAATCTATAGAAAATTTGTGAAAATTCTCTGGTTCAATTTTCTCGTTCGAAAAAAAGTCGTAGTTCTCATGTTTTATAAAATTCAGTTATTTGCTTGAAATAGACGTTTTCCGACGGAAAAAATCGAAATGAGTCTTAGATGATCACCGTAGCTTTATCATGCGTTCACCGTTGTTCTGTATGTGCATGTTCAGTACTCTACCTAACACCGATGCACCGAAGGTAGAGTGCACCGTTATTATGATTGAACAGTGGATCCACACATCGGTAATCATCGTCACCATTACATCTCTAGAATAAACTGTTGCTTGTAAATGGTAATGCAAAAAAAAATGTAGAAACGTTTCTGTAAAGAATGAATATGAGATATTACTCGAAAATGAAAATCTTTCTTTATTATTGTATTTAATATAATTGTTTTTTATTCATTAACCTTTTGGTTATTGTTTTTTTTTGCAAAAGATGACAAAAAATATTTATTTGCTCATAGAGGTCTGGAATTGAATATGTATATGTCAAAGGGAAACAGCAGATGGCATTAGGCTTCAATCAATAACATAAAATTTAGTACTTCTAGAGTAGATTGAAGTTACCCAAAAAAACTAAGAAATCCTTCGTGTAACTTCGTGAATAATCCTACAGTTGCATATCATAATATAGATCTAATAAAATTGAGCGTCTAGTTTTATGTCATATTAGCGCTTCAACAGTAATCCTAACTTTCTCCAGCGACAATAGTTCTAGCATTCTAATATCTGTTTGGTTTCACAGAGCTCTAATTCCATAATTTGATATACATGTACAGTGATTTCATAAAATGATGTTGTAATACTAAAAGCATAAGGAAAAAAGAGAATACTGTATGACCAAAGAAAAAGAGCAGATTATCAAAATTATAATCTGCATAAAAACTTAGCTTGTATATATACGAGCTCTGTAACCAAAAGATTAATTGATTTTTGACAATTTAAAAAAAATCAAATTTCAAGAAATAAACATGAAAAAAATTTAATACAATTTATTTTTTATTGTATTAAACAATCATCACATTGATGAATATTAGTAAGTCTTTTATGCATGGTATCAATACGTTTTTGAAGATTATTGATTTGAATTGAATCTTGTGTTTTAATATTATCATTTGAAGAATCATCAACTATTTCTTGAAGTGAAACAGTATCTATCAAGTAGAGATTTATCTATTATATTTATTCATTAAATCAACTTACTATTAAGCATATTAATAGATGTAATTGGTTGTGTAAATAAAGTTTTGGCATAATCAAATAAAGATTCAAGTTCAGTAATATTCGATGATAGATTGACAAGTAATGAATTATATTGGTCATTCTATATATTTAACATATTAAAGATTTTAGGTTTTTGAGAGAATATCTTCATGTATAATAAAATAAAGGTTTTAGTATCTTTTTCAGTCACTACAATTAGATTATACGATCAGGAAGGAAAAGCAGGGAGATTTTTCTCTCCTAAAATTTTCTTGTCTTCTGCATTTCTTCCTGGAAATTTTCTGTTGTTGATAGCTAACATATTTTTAATCCTTCGGAGAAACAAATTGCCTATATAAAAGCGAAGTTTCGTTTGCAGTACTTTTAAAGAAAACCATTTATTTTCTCTTACAGAAAAACTGAATCAGTTCATATTTTAAATAATAAAATATTAAAAAAATAAAGGTTAAAATTATGGTTTGATCGTCAACATATCTAAAATTCATTTAATAGATATTGAAGAATAGTATATACGAAATTCAGCTCAATATTTGGATGGTAACTTCAAAAATGCTTTAGAAAATGCTGACTACCAAGACACATACTTCATGGTATTGAATAATACTAACATTCTAACAGAGATCAAACACAAGTCAAGAGAAAAAAAAAAGAAAAAATTTTTCACAAAATTCATGTACTTCAATTTTTCTTTATCTGTAGATTTCGTAGTTGTTTCAATTTGAAAATATAATCATCTAATAAGAGCAAAAATCTTCCTTTGTATGAATTAATAAATGATGGCTGATCTATATCGGCTGAAGATGAAATAGCTGCAGCTATGATGATAAACTTTTACTTGTATAGTAATTAGTTTTCCAACTATTTTAGTTAATCTCTATCAGTTATTATTCATCATTGCTCCTACTGATTCCACACTCAAATCGATAAAATAATGAGAAAACAGTAATAAACTATATAGACGTCTAAAATTAGCGTTTACTAGATACATCACTTTTGTTTTCAATATTTTTTGTTTTCGGAATTTCTACATCACATTAACTACTCAGTATGCAAGTTATGAAGATTAATTCACTATTTACCTCTCACTGATCACTGAAATGATCATTTTTGCAACGATTGTAAAAACTAAATGCTCCATGAGATTCCAAATGTTCATAAACATGTTTTAAGTAAACTTCATAAGCTATTAACTAGTAAAAATTAACAATTCATTGCATCGCTCCGTCAACGAAATATTGAACTCAAAAATCGATAATTTCATACGAGTGAAAAAGAATTCAAAGTTTTCAAGCAAAATATTCTCTACTTTTCAGACAGTAGAAATCTTGAAGACTTGTTATATAATATAGGTTGATGAAAAGTTCTACTAATGATTAATATAAGCTTTAAAAGTTTCGTGATAGCTTGGTGAATTACACACAATAAGGTAAAAATCAGACCGTGTTACAACTATTGGGCAGCCAGCGAACAATTAAAAATAAAAATAATCTATGTATTGTTTAAAGTTTAGTTTTTGTTTTTTCATTCTCATTTCAAATTGTAATTAAAAATAAAATAAAATCACACATTTTTTTCTTGTTCGTTATATTGTATTGTATTATCTAATGTATGTGTTTGCCGTCTTTGTTGTTGATAAACTAAACGAAGCTAATAAAAGTATCATTACATTAGATGATGAAATTTATTTTTTTTAAACTCACTAATTGATTAAATTGATCAACATGTTCATTTGAATTAAGTGTTTTAATTGATAAAAGACGATTTGTTTCTTGAAGAATATAATCATTTTCTTGTTCTTTTTTTAAATGATTTATTTCTTTAAGCTATTAGTAATACAAAAATAAAAATAAATAAAAACAAAATTATTTAAATAGATTAAAGAAAAAATGAATATAAAGATTAATAAATACATTTTCTCGACAAATTTGTTTTGCAACAAGAAGTTGTCCTTCAATTCTTTGAATTTCTTTTTTAATTTCTTGATGATTTCGAGTCATTTTACTAACTCGATTTTTTTCATTTCAATTTCATCCAATAAACAAAAACATCAATGATTCATTCTCTAGTTCTTTGTTTATTCAATATTATATTTGACTAGTTAAGCGGTTGGTTATCTATTAAATAAAAGATAAAAACTAAAAATGAACGATATTAGAATGATAACATCAGAACGATTTTATATGAAACGAAATATTTTGTATTAAACTTTTCTTTTCGCAGAAATTTTTAGTAATTTTATAACATTGTAGATCTCAGTTTATTCAGAATGAATCAGTGTGTTATCTGCAGTTCATTTCATCATGCTGCTGATGATGATTATAATAATAATGATTCTTCACGTACTTATCGATTAGTCCTAAACGATGACGCAACATTGTTAACGAAAAAGAAACCAAAAGCACTGTCGGTACTTTCTTGACAAGATGTAAACAATAGATCAATGGTCATTTTTAGTAGTTAGAATTTCGTATATATAGAATTCATTCGTTTTGAATTCCATTGAATTCTATTAATTCGAGTCATATAAAAACTCGGTATAATTCTAGAAAGATTTCGATACACTCTACCTATACAACTTTATTCCTTTACAATGAGATTATATTTCCTAACTACAAGAAAAGCAATGCATTATTTTTTGCTAAGCTAAAAATGAGTTTTTTTTTATAAACAGAAGTCACATACATCTTATAAGTCATGAAATAACGCCCTAGTTGAATCATTTTATCCGAGGAAATTGAATATTCTGGCTGAATCAACTTTGAAGTTTTTTAATTACCTCACAAGTGAACTTCATAAGAACTTTATATAATGATGTTTTATAAATAAAATTGTATAACATACACATCACACATTAATATACTTCTTCACCTTATGTCACGCATTTAAGATTTCAGCTAAAAAAAAAGAGAGAATTTTGAAATTAATTTTGTCCGTTGTTTCTATAATCAATCATATCTAGTAGATCAATGTCTGTAGAATATTTTAATTATTCAGATAATTCTAATCGGATATCCTGCATGCCGT